CGGATGAATTTGAAATCCGGAAAGGTGTCCGCCAAGGCTGCATACTCTCTCCGATGCTTTTTAATTTATATGTTGAAAATATATTTGTGGAAGCATTAGTAGATACGGAATTAGGCATTAAGGTGAACGGCATACCAATTAGCAACCTACGCTATGCGGACGACACAGTGATTATAACTGATAATTTGGAAGATCAGCAGTTATTACTTGATAGGGTGAATAGCATAGGTAAAAAATATGGCCTCAAAATCAACATTTTGAAAACGAAATATATCGTTGATTGGGAAGAATAGTATGATATTTCAAAAACATTAAATTTTCAGAAATGGCGATTAAAGATTGAGATGGGTTTCGAGATCGAATAACTTAAGCAATACATTACTAAATATCCTTTTGATCATAATAATTAAGGCTTACAGTAGTAACTGACAATATAAGTTTTTCATCCGATCCATATACCAGCCCCAACCCATATTTTTCATCCCCATTTTGAGTTATAATAGTTTTCTATATAAATATCTTGTGTTGTTTTACAATTATTAGTTTATTAGGGACAATAAAATGGAACAGTTTAAAAGTTTTATTTGAGTATAAACAACAAACGAATGATAAAATAGCAGCTGTAGTACAATATCAGTATAAAAACATAAAAAGCTTAGCCTTCCATTAAAAAAATTAAAGTTTCTACAAGTTAGCGTAAAAATCCCTATAGTATTGTGGCATTACCGCTACATTTTTTTTCTTTGCAAAGAGAGAGAGCAAGCCAGCTTTCTTTTTTTCATTTATTCCTACCTTTTTCCTATAAGCTTGTTTAAGAGTAACATCACGTGGTGATGGAACTCGTCGTTTGCTTTGAAGAACGTTTAAGGAATTAAATTCCTCTTGTTTGTATGACATTTTATACATCAAATGACTAGGATTTTCTTTCGTAACTTTTAATATGCATATTCCTGAGAGAGGGACTGAATCACCTTCTTCCGTTTTAAAAGAATCCTTCATCCCCATATCACTTGAGAGTTGTTTCAGATCAAAAAAATTCTCATAACACATTTCATGTACGGTGAATGGATTTCCATTCTTCTTTGCTTGTCTAACCAATGTTACATATTGATCTGGTACGTAAATTGGAGAAAATTTTTTAAATTTAGTAATTGAACGTTCTATAATAGAATGGACATGGTCTCCCTCGTTCTGAGTGTGACCACTAATTAAAAATTTATGGGTGATGGACCTAATATTTTCTAGAACAGAAACAGCATGTATGTATAAAGCAAATACGAAGCGGTTCTTATTTTGACCGAAACAGTTGTCAGTATAAAATACAACATCTACCATTTCAGTATTTTTTGCGTTCACAGACTGCAAATAAGCCCAAACGCACGAACCCACTTCATTTGCGCCTCTGTGAGCTAGACCTTCATGCCACATAAAGCACATTGCTTCCGTGCTTTTAAGCTCGTACAATGTTAAATTATACACACTTAGTTTTGATACATAATAAAAAGAAGACGAGTCCCCTTGCGGGCATGGCAATGCTGCCTGCATATCATAAACAGCGACAATTTTATCTGGAGAATGTTTATCTATGTCCTTCTCTTTTCTTGACAGTTCTTTGTCTTCAATATGGTTGTTGTACTGTTCCTGAAGTTCTTGTTTTTCTAACTCGGAGGCATTAATAAAACCCTGGCAAAAATCACACTTATCTTTTTTTGGAATAAAAAAAGATAAATTAAACTCTCCCTTGAATATATTGGAGTACATCAAATAATTTACGCTCGGCTTCTCGAGTTCTTTGCAATGCTGCTCATAATCTCTGTGGAGGTCGGCAATAGTTTTTCCTCCTTCAATGTATTCTTTCTTTGATTGAGATCGGCAGTAGTGGCTCTCCATTCGAGGAATAGATCGGATATGATTACGCACTTCTTCTTTTAACTCCTCAGGAACACTGCTATGTTTTTGGTGTCTGCCTCGATTATCTGCCTGTATAATTCCATTTACGTCATTATTTTGTTTGCGTAAAACGGTTTCAATTACTTGAGAGTTAATGCAAAGGGTTGCCATGAAGAAGGACTTGCAAACACGAATTTTTTCTCCTGCGTATGTGAAAAAAAATGCGTTATTAAGACCACGTATTTTTTTAACCGAACTTGTATACCGGTATCTTGGTTTTATGGTTGTAGTACAAGATGCAATATACATTCTTTGTTTTTGAAGGTCAGCCATACTCCAGTAATCGTCGAAAATTTTCTGTCTTTGTTCATCTGCTAACTTAAGTGAACATTTATAACGACATTTATCAGCATTGCAAGGGGGTCGCATTATTCTAGCCTTACGATTGACTAATACTCGATCTTTGGTTCCATCTTCATTTTTCGTGATTTTTATTGAAGCATAACTTTGGCCACTATTCCTCATCATTTTAGCAACATTTTTTTGCCACTGAGATATCTTTCTCTTTCGCTTTTTTACATTTTCTGGTGGGGGACATGGGTTTTTAACAGAGCGTCTTTTGTTGCTTAAATTTTGGTTCCAAATTAAAGGAGGCCCCTCATCAGAAGAATCATCAGAGGATGACGAAGAACTATTTGAAGAATAATTTGGGTCGCCTGAGGTGTTATCAAAGACTGAACTACTAGAGGAACTGGTTGATATGGAAGACGAAGAGCTGCTACTGTCCTTTTCACGCTCACTACTGATTGTAACGTCATTATTTATAAACGTTGGTCCTCTTTCATCTTCAGCACCTGTTGTTTCATAGATAGTTGGACTTTTTTGGTTTTCTTTGTTTTCAAAATCAACAGCCATATGAAAATATTGTTCGTATTGTTTTTCAGCTAAAGGAGAAGCAATTTTAGGATTTTCATTTGTATCAGTAGTAAACTTGTTGACAGAATCACTGACTATGGGAAAATTATTGGTTTCACTTTTATTAGTCACAAATAATTGTTGAGTATACAAACCGCTACTTTCATGTCTGGCATTATCTTCATCTGTTTCGCAAATCTTACTAGCGAGGTCTACTAGAATACGACTTCTATTCCCACTCATTTTCTAGAACAAAATATTATCCATTAGGTCCATAAAAAATTGTGCAGTCAACACACATAATATTTATTAATTCTTTTCTACACACGGATTGAAATTTGAACCACCAAATTTTTGTTACATGTCGCACAGTCGTTTACAAAATGAATCGCTTACTAATCTATTTTTATCAAGTTACACCTACGCAAGAGGTTTGTATTAAATACTTATTCCCTCTGACCCTATTAAAAAATGTTATCTTTAACTGGTAAAATTCCCACGGTTTAGATATCGGCCAAACGCGAATGGTTGTTGGATGAATCAGTTGTTTCTTGAAAAGTATCATTTCCAACGTACTAATGAATAAATCAATAATAAAATCTCTTGCAGTAGAGTTTTCAAAGAAATGAAAATCTCAGTTTAATTAAGTATCTAGTAAGAAAAAATATTTTAAGGAATAGAATGATAAAACGAAATAATTTCTTGGATTTGAGTTAAATTATGCTGAAGACAATGTTAACTAAAAATAACAAGCTATACTTAGGGCAAAATTCTATTCAAAACTATATTAACTCAAAATGAAATAAAGATAAAAAGCTCACTGGTGTACTTATTTTATTCAAGAGTATGATATTATTTGTAATCATCATATTGACCAAGATTATAATAAAAATAAATGCTTACCTGTTAAAGAAGAGTATGATATTTTGAAATATAATTCTCTTGATCCAAAAATATTCACTAATAAGACGCAAGCAGTTTGAATATTTTGACTTGTAATAGTATTGATTAAATAAAAATATCTTAAGTCTAGCGCGAACTGTAGACAACTAAGTTGCCCGAGTCTTCTCCATAACGGTTGTGTGGAAGTGGGAGATGCCATAGTTGGTCACAGAGCCCTCTAGAGCTTGTCGTTTAAATTGCAGTTGTAATACTTTTCTTCCTAATAGATCCATTCATTCTGAGTAGTTTGATGACATAAATTAAAAATGAACCAATTTTGACTTATCATACTATTCTTCCCAATCAACGATATGGTCATTAGCAGAAACCCTCCAGAAAACCCGATAATATGGATAGGTAACAATCGTATAAATCGCGTGAAAACTTTTAAATACCTTGGCACCACAATCAATGATCAATCGGATCCACAACACGAGATAAAAACCCGAATACAAATGGCAAGACAAGCTTTTGTGAAATTCAGACAGCTCCTATGTAATCAACACCTAAACTTTGAAATACGCTACAGAATGGTCAAGTGCTACATACGGTCCATCTTGCTTTATGGCATGGAAACGTGGACTTTGAAAAAACATCTATCAACAAACTTGAAGCATTTGAAATGTGGTCATTGAGAAGAATGATGCGCATACCTTGGGTGGATAGAGTTCGAAACGATGACGTCCTTAATAGAGCCGGCGTGGAAAGAGAACTCTTTGAATTTATTAAAAAACGCAAGATTGGTTACCTTGGGCACATATTGAGAGGAGCAAAAATGAAATACCACAGTTAATCCTACAAGGGAGGATCGAAGGTAGGAGAGGAGCCGGCCGCAAACAATTATCCTGGTTAAGGAATATTAAAGAATGGACAGGAATACACAATACAGGTGAGCTGTGTCACGCCGCCAAGAACAGAATTCTAGTAATGAGATAGTCGCCTATGCACTTTGGTGTATGGCATGTTAAGAAGAAGAAGAAGAAGAAAACTTGAATACTTAGGCCACCTGATGATAGGACAAAAGTATACATTCCTACAAAATATAAGGCAAGGAAAAATCCGAGGACCAATCTCCGATAGGAGAGGCACTCAAAGAAGAAGAATCATCGAAATGAGTTAGGGAATAGGTCTGATTAGGCGACCTAGTTTTTCTTTTTTATGCGATTTGACAATATTATTTTAATTACAACTTACTTAATTATTGTATAAAATCTTGTAATACTTTGATGTTTTTGAATGAATTTTTGTTTTAGGACAAAATGATCAGCAAAATAGAATGTGAAGTTGATAATAGTGATCAGAGTTTAGTCATGATAGAAGGAGGGGAAGTACATGGGTTTTATAATTTTTTCTTAAACTGTAAAAGCTCAACTGCTTTAACAGGTCATCTCGCTGGTGTACCACCAACACTTCTAGCTCCTGTGGCGTTCCATGGTGCCTCGCTTAATTCTCTAAAAGTTAAAGAAAGCAAAGTATACATAGACGATTCAAATTATTACTCATTAGAACTTTCCGGGCCTATTCTACCAAGTATGACCCCCAATTTATTTGCTGTATCGAGACCTGAACACAGCTTGACAGCTACCTACAACAATTTGCGAAGTACTGAATGTTTTAGCCAAGTTAAAAACACGGAAAGGAGATCAGTCATTGAACGGACAGGAACTGTTGTATTTGGTACAGAAAACTTGTCAGATTGTGGTTTATCGTCAGATATTTTAAAACATTTTTGTGCTCCGGATAAGGACTATGTAACAAATGTTGAATGCTTGAAGTATACTAGTGAAAATAATACGTTTACTTGGTCCTGAGATTTATAGGTATTTCCATAATTTCATTGATTATACCATTCACAAGGTTTATTTGTATATACAGTAATAGTTAAATTTTAGTAAGATTTAATTTTAATTTATTTGTATTTATGTTTTAAAATTATAAAATTTTTAAGTTAAATAATCTTTTATTAGAAGATATGTATTTGTTCCTTATTGTCACCATAGGGAGAGTAGGGTGTTCATACGAAACAACACCATATCTGCTCTCTAGGTACTCTACAGAGGGCTTTGGTTAGTCAATCCGAAGCTACCTCTGCGTTTTCATCTTGATTAGATGGAAATAAAATACAGTTTGACGTAGACAAAAGGTTCTAGCAAAAGAGTCTAAGGACAAGGAAGGAGTGGAGCACCGTGAAGGAGGCCTCCCAAGCGTAGGACACCCTACGTGGGGGCCGTAGCAAAGCTAGGCGTCGACTGCCGTGAGATCCGAATAATCCCATATTTAAAGACAATTTAATATTTATATGAGATTTTCGGACCTCCTGGCCAACAGAAAATTAAATAAAAGGTAGGAAGGCGGGGCGACGCACGTCAGGGTGCGCATTAGCTCGCGACTAAAAGGCACCAGGACGACATCCCCCCCCCTTTGAAGACTCTTTTGCTGAAGAAAAAGTTTTATTTAAAAAAGACATATTTATATCAAAAGTATCAATTACATCAGCATACTACAACAAATATAACCCTGAATAAAAGTTTATAAAAGGTAGACAATATTTGTAAAAATTTTATGGACAAGTTGAAAATGTTTACAAAAATTTTCATATAACATATAAGATAGATGGATATGTAAATAAAACACAGTTTGACGTAGACAAAAGGTCCTAGCAAAAGAGTCTAAGGACAAACAAGGAGCGGAGCCCCGTGAAGGAGGCCTCCCAAGCGTAGGACGCCCTACGTGGGGGCCGTAGCAAAGCTAGGCGTCGACTGCGGTGAGATCCGAATAATCCCATATCAAGCAAGCAATTTGATTGAACCCAGCCTATGAGAAATGTTCACCCAGGTAGTACGATCGGGTGTAACAATTCATTGGAGCAAGGTGTTTTAATTCGTGTTTAAAAACAGGAATCACCCCACCGTGCTCCAATGCTCTAGACCATCCCTTTCCCCCCTATAGCAATCTGATTCGCTATAGAGGCACAACAATCAGCCAAGTGCTCTTCATGTGGAAGTCCTGGGTAATTGAACCCCAACATGGTTTCCTAACCGTATGTGAAAACTCAGGACAGCGCATCTCCGCTTTATTCCTGTTTATCTTAATGTAGCTTATCCGCGAACTAAAATTGCTTACTTGGGCCTCAAGTCTCCGCTCTGAGTTCCGGCTCAGTTCGGCGACTTGGTGCTCAAGGGATAATCCCATATTTAAAGACAATTTAATATTTATATGAGATTTTCGGACCTCCTGGCCAACAGAAAATTGAATAAAAGGTAGGGAGGCGGGGTGACGCACGTCAGAGCGCGCATTAGGTAGTTCGCGACTAAAAGGCACCAGGACGACATCCCCCCCTTTGAAGACTCTTTTGCTGAAGAAAAAGTTTTATTTAAAAAAAACACATATTTATATCAAAAGTATCAATTACATCAGCATACTACAACAAATATAACCCTGGATAAAAGTTTATAAAAGGTAGACAATATTTGTAAAAATTTTATGGACAAGTTGAAAATGTTTACAAAAATTTTCATATAACATATAAAGACACATAAAATTTCCTTAGTATAACAAATGTAATCGTAGACAAAATTTATATAAAAACAAAGAACAAGTTGAAAACATTTATATAAAAGAACGTTTTTATACACGTATTTGAAGATACGTAAAATTACATTAATTGCAACAAATGTAACCGTAGGCGAAAGTTTTATGTACAAAAAAGACATAGTTAAAATATTTATATAAAAGACAGTTTTTATATAACATATTTAAAATGCATAAAATTTCATTGGTATGTTGCAGCAATGTAATCGTAGATCAAAGTTTATATAAGGAGAAGAATAAGTTGAGAATATTTATAAAAAAGAAGGTTTTTATATAACATGTTTCTATCAAACGAATAGAATAAAATTGTCTTAATATACTGCAGCAATTGTAGTTGTAAACAAAAGTTTATATAAGGAAAATAAGTTGAAAAATGTTTATATAAAAGAGAGTTTTTATATAATATATTTATATCAAAACGAATACAATAAACTTGCATTAGTATACTGCAACGAATGTGACCCTAGATAAAAGGTATTCTGATGGTCGTCTTCTTCTTCTGCAGGTACCGTGTTCCATCACAGTACCTTCCACTTCCACGACTTCGTCCTCCTCCAGACCATCAGTATCTCATAACTTTTTCCAGTCGGTTTCTCGTAGGGGGTATGCCTGTGCCTACGTGGTGTATCGTACCACATATTGTAGGCTAGGGAGTGACTCCGCGTCTACTCCAGGGACTTCAATAGTTTCTGGGGCTGGTGGCTTCGGTGACTTCTCGGTCGTTGAATTTTCCGGCACTGGACGGCGTCAGGAACTGCAGGATTGGTTGATTATTCAATTAGCTGCTGGTGTGGAGCTTATTAGCTGAGCTTCAGTGGGAGCCTGGGTCGTAGGCTGCTTTTTCTCTAGTTGGGCGCCATGTCACCATAGGGAGAGTAGGGTCTTCATACGAAACAACACCATATCTGCTACCTCTGCGTTTTCATCTTGATTAGATGGATAGGTAAATAAAACACAGTTTGACGTAGACAAAAGGTCCTAGCAAAAGAGTCAAAGGACAAGGAAGGAGCGGAGCCCCGTGAAGGAGGCCTCCCAAGCGTAGGACGCCCTACGTGGGGGCTGTAGCAAAGCTAGGCGTCGACTGCCGTGAGATACACTTCATTGTTGCGTTGGTTCTCTCTGTTTTTGGTATGGTACTTCTTTGTTTTGGGGTTTTGGCATCCTGTTATAGGCTTTTGCCTCTTCAGGATGTGGTTCTTGGGTTGTTGGTGTTTGGCTTCTGGTTCTTTGCTTGGTGGTCCACTGGTGGGTGTAGCCAGGGCAATCAGTGGAGAAAGGTAGTGGTCGGTTCTTTTCAGAATTGTTTTCTAAAAAATATATTAGTGATAGTTAGTGAATGTTAAATTAATATATGTACAGAATGCAATATTAATATATGTATAAATACATGCATTAATATGTTAAATAGTAAATGTGTTAAATGTGTTATCGCGACGCGTGAGGGCAGCTGCGGCTGTATCCTCAAAATAGACAGGTATCATTTGCAAGTGGGATCGGGAAACCGCAGAAAACCGATCCCCCCCTGTCTAGGCAAGCTCGAAGTGAGCAATTTAGCTTGGAATGCGACGAAAATAGAGGGGAGTTGCCTCCTGTATGTCAATGTATTCATCAGGGAGTTCGTTACTGGCGAGTTCCAGTAGAATTGCGGGTAGGTGTGGGATTTTGGGTTTAGGATGTCTGGTGAATACATTGCCGCGGGAAGAGCAGACAGTTTTTAGGATGCGTTGAGCTCTGAGGTTTTGGCTCCGGATAGTGCGTGTAGTATAACTTCTGCTCAGAGAGTGTAGTCTCTCATTTATGGGCTGGATATTAGACAGTTGATGAATGAGGGCTGAGGGGTAGTCGTTGCGTTTGCCATTCACTCTACGCAGAATCCTCCGCTCTAGGCTTAATAGGTTTTCTTTGACTGGTTTTGGTATTGTATTATAAATGTTTGATCGGTATTCAAAAATAGGTCTAATAAAAGTTTTATAGGTAAAAATTAATGTTCTAGAGTGCGTGGCCCCGAAATTACATCTCAAACTATTGAGGAGACTCAATCTGCTCCTAGCCTTAGCACAGGCTGAGCTCAAGTCGGCCCTCCAGTTCAAAGTTTGTGTAAACTTCACACCGAGGTATTCGACCTGATCACGGAGTTGGAGTTGATCTCCCCATAGCGTGAGATAGTTTCTTTCGTTAAAGGAGGCCGCGCGTACGCTGTGTTTAGGGTGTCTGAAAAGAATCGTTTGAGTTTTGTTCGGATTCAGGGACACTCTCCATCGCCTGCACCAGTTTTCGACTAGTCTAAGGTGATTTTGAGCATTCCTGAGAACAGAATCAACGTTCGTTGCTGTAGTAACCAGAGCAGTATCATCTGCGTAAAGTAGAGTGGTGGTTCTGTTACGAGTAGTATTGGGGAAGTCGCTGTTGTATATTATGTAAAGTATGGGTGCCAGTACGGAGCCTTGAGGTACTCCGGCTGTTGGAGTAAAGGAATCGGAGAAATGACCACGTTCCTTAACACGGACCAGACGTTCAGAGACGTATGATTGGATTAGTCTGACGAAAGGAATTGGTAGTCCAATGTTCAATAGTTTCTTGATCAGTCCCACATGCCAGACTTGATCGAAGGCTTTTTGAACATCGAGGAAAATACCTAATGCGAGTTTGCTGTCGTTCAGACTTTGAGTGATGTGTGTGACAATCTCAGTCAATGCCGTATTAGTAGAGCACCCTTCTCTAAAGCCGAATTGAAAAGAGGGAATGATGTTGTGTTCGTTGGTGAAGTCAATGAGTCTTTCTTTTAGGATCCTCTCAAAGACTTTTGCTAAAACATTTGTGAGTGAAATCGGCCGATAAGAGTTAGGATCTGTGCGGGGTTTGCCCTTTTTAAGGAGCATAATTGTATTTGCTACTTTCCATTGAGAAGGGAAATAGCAGAGTTTGAGAGTGGCATTGACGATATTTGTTAAATAGAGGTAGACACTCGGAGGAAATTGTTTCACGCAGCTCCTGGCAATGTTGTCAGGACCCGGTGAATTCGATTTGCCGATATGACAAAAATTTTTGAAAGTTTGTTGATCCACAGGTGCCATGATGGGATGGTCATGCGGCACCTGAGGATCGAAAGGGGCGCCGAGTAGTCTGTTTACATCTCTTTCAGTCTTAGTCAGGAAGGCGTGGTCAAATCTAGGATTATTAGGTGTGATTAATGTGTTTTGTAAATGGTTTTTAAAGGCTTCGGCCTTTTGTTGATGTGTATTAATGATTTGATTGTTCACAATAATGTGAGATGGATTATTGGTTTTTTGTTTAGTTAGGCACTTGAATTTATGCCAGAACTTACCACCGTCACGGAAATCAAGACTAGAGGT